ATCCTACTTTCTGCCACATATCTTCAGATTCCAGATGATCAGATCTTATGGAGTGGCATTGATGGAGTCATGGATCCCTCACTCCACAGCTGGTGACGTCCATGTCAGTAGAATGGTGAATCTCATCTAGGTTTGACTTAAGACTTGAAAAGAACTATCTCAGGTGTTTGAATGTATTTTTGGGTTGGTTGGTTGGTTGTGGTGGTTCAGCACCATGGATAGTTCTTTTAAAGTTATCCCCAACTAATAGTGAATTCATCATCAGTGGGTGACATGGACCAGAAGTAGCTCAAGATCACTTCCGGTCACCTTTTGGAGTGTTCTAGCAAGGGTGATGTACAAAGCTCTACAACCGTCTTGAACATAACAACTTTTGACCATTTCTAGGGATTTTAAGAATTCTTCTGATGATTTCTTTTCAGGGAGTTCCAAGGTCTTTGGGAGTGTTATTGAGGATCCTAGGGCCACACTGCAACTCCTCAAAGGCTGCATGGACCCAGAGGTATAAGCTATCTCTCTCTGTGTGTATGGGGAATGGCAACATTGTCCCAAATAAGAATTCTGCCTCCCCATGAAATTGTCCATCAGTCCCCAAATTTCTAGCATTAAAGATACATTAAATAATCATTCACACTAAGAACACTTTATTTAGTCAAAGATATAGCTGTGGCAGTATGCAAAGGGATCTTGTAGCACGTTTTAGACTAACTGAAAGCGAGAAAGTGGTAGCATGAACTTTCATAGACTTGAGTCTACTTCCTCAGATTTTGTAGACTTGAGTCTACTTCCTCAACTTCTCTCTTCTATTTATTCTGTTTGAATTCCCTTGATAACATTACCTGCCCCTTTTCCTTACATGCACAAACTGTATTATTAAATGCTCAAATGAAGTCTTAGGTTACTACAGTATTTCAAATTCAAGACTCAAAAGAAAATTTAATTGGAGGGGTAATATTTATTGGTGGAAGCAGCACCTCCTTATGCCCCCTGTGTCAGGATTCAGTGGTGTTCCTTCATGATCCACCATAATCAGTGATTTCCTTCTCCCTCCTGAAGCCTTCTGTGAACCCTAGAAAGCCACTCTGTAGGACTGGAAACCCTTTGGAACAGACCTTTGTCTGTACAAGGAGTGAGAGAAGAAGAAAGTCCAGACTCTGTCCCCTGGTGCTGGCACCAACCAGTGGGACTGGCCCCAAAAATGGTGGACAGGTTGAAATCAGCAGAGCAAATCATTCCAGATATCTCAGGTAAGCAACCAAGCTGCATCCATTGGGCAGGGTATAAATAAATTTTATTATTATTATTATTATTATTATTATTATTATTAATGTTTATTTACGATGATGAGAGGGGAACATCCATGAACTCTAATGGGCTTGCAATGTTTTGGTGGGCTATCCTTGGGTCAACCTGAACATGGAGAACATCAGATGATACCTACTGTAGCAGGTGGGGGTTCTCTGGCTTCCCAAGCAATAGAGAAGGGGCTTTCTTTCTTATTTCCCATTGCCAGATCCTTTGTGTTTGTAGAAAATAGGGACTGAACCTGCAACCTTGAGCCATCACTGAGCTTATTTCTCTTCCAATAGTCTTTTGCAACATGGTGACATAAAATAAAATTGAAATAAAATAAAAAAATAGATCTGTATCATATAAATGGGCTTTTATGGTTTGCTCTGGACATTCTGGTTTTCCTCTTCTTCTTTCTCAAATAGCTTTAAGGCTGTGCCATGCCTGGAGTCCAAGGGTGCATCTACACTGTAGAAATAAGGCAGTTTGGCCCCACTTTAACTGCCATGGCTCTGCCTTGCAGAATCCTAGGATTTGTAGGGTTTTTTTTTTGGTGAAGCACCACTACTCTTTGGCAGACAAAGGTAAAGACCTTGTAAAACTACAATTCCTAGGATTCCATAGGGTGGAGCTACAGCAGTTAAAGTGGGGTCAAACTGCATCATTTCTACATATAAATGCACCCCAAAACAGGGAAAGCCATACAAACAAGGTTAAGCAAAACAATTTCCCTTTTTTTCATGATGGTCCAAAGCCATAGTCATGTCGGGCATGAGAAATGTTTAGGGATTCATATTTCCCAGGAATGTGTGCCTTGTATTTGTATTTTCCAGTCCCAGGTGTCTTAGATGACTGGAAGTGATTATTACTCAGAAGAAGGTCAAAGAGTGGAACTGCACTCTGCTCATGTTCAGAGGCATTGGTGGGACCTAAAGCCATTTACTAACAATGTCACCAGAGAAAAGCACCATATCACTTCTCATAATTAACACTGCCATTTGTAATATTGACAAACTAGAACATGTCCAGAGGAGGGTGACCAAAATGGTGAAAGGTTTGGAAACCATGCCCTTTGAGGAGAGTAGGGACCTGGGTATGCTTAGCCTGGAGAACAGAAGGTTAAGGGGTGACATTATAGCCATGTTTAAATATTTGAGGATGGAGCAAGCTTGTTTTCTGATGCTCCAGAGATTAGGACATGGAGCAATGGATTCAAACTACAGGAAAAGAGATTTCACCTAAACATTAGGAAGAACTTCTTGATGATAAGAGCTGCTCGACAGTGGAATAGGTTGACTCAAAGTGTGGTAGAATCTCCTTCTTTGGAGGTTTTTAAACAGGATGGATGGTTATCTATTGTTAGTGCTTTGATTCTGTTTTCCTGCATGGCAGGAGGTTGGACTGGATGGCCCTTGGTGTCTCTTCCAACTCCATGGTTCTATAATTGCATAGACTTTCTCCTTCATCTCCTGAGTAAGTTGGCTATTGACTAGAAATTGTGGCGATTCGTTCCTCAAATCATAATGATGCAGAGGGTTTATCTGGTGAAAATTGTAAAAATCATCCACATCCTCATCCTCATCATGATCATCATCTCATTAAATCAATGGTTGCATGATGATCCAAAACAACCTATGCCCCTCCATTTCTCATTAAATCAAAGTGCTGGTGATCTGACAGACCATACACTCCCATATGAACCTGCTCATGTTTTGAGAACTTCTGGGGAAAACTGGTCTCTGTCCCACCATCCTCAAAGGTATATTTGTTGGGACATGGGATACAGGGCCTTCTTAATGGCTATTCCTGGGCTCGGGAATCCCCTTCCCAGAGAAAGTAGCCTAGTACCCTCCTTACTATCTTTCTGTAAGCAGGTAAAAATCCTTTTTATTTTGGCAGGAGAACTGATCCCCTCCCTCCCAATGAGAAACATGCCTTGCATAATGTCTGGACCTTGTTGTTTTTGCTTTCATTTGTTTTAACTGGTTTCAAATTTGATGGTGGTCTAATTGCTTTTTAATTTTTGTACATAGTTAAATTTTAAATAGGTTTGAGTTTACTGTTTTAAGACACCTTGAGTCCCAAACTGGGAGAAAAGGTGCAATATAAATGGTGATAGATAGATAGAAAGAAAAAAAGATAGATAGATAGATCCCGTTTAATAAAATGGTACCACTCTGTTTGGCACTAACAATAAGATTCAGGACAATGAGTAATGATTTGTTAAATATATCAATACACAGGTAAATCCTATGAATGCAATGGGTCTACTCTGTATGTGTGCCTTCAAGTCACCTGTTCATTTATGGCGATCCCATGAATTTCAGAGGGTTTTCTCAGCAAGGAATCCTTAGAGGTAGTTTTACCAGTTCCTTCCTTGGAAATAAAACCTACAGCACCTGCTATTTGTTGGTGGTC